TCGGCAAAAGGCCATTTATACAGAAGGGTTTTTTGTATTACGATGTGTACATCCTTCTCAGGTGGAAAATTTTTTATACAAGGTCCATAAAGGAGTAAGTGGAAGCCATGTAGGGGGTAGATCTCTTGCCTATAGAGTTATATCACAGGGATTCTGGTGGTCCTACATGCAAAAGCACTACAAGAATTAACACTTTTGGCAACAAAAAAATTGGTCGCTAAAAGTCTATTTTTGGTCGGCAAAAGTTATCCGCGACCAATTTTTTTGGTCGCTACTTTGGTCGCCAATTGAGGGTCGGCAAAAGTAATTCGCGACCAAAATTGTAGTTGGTCGGCAAAAGTTGGATTTTGTCGATTAAATTTTTGGTCGCTAAATATTTAATTACCGCGACTAATTTATTTTGTCGCCAAAACACTTTGGTCGCGAAAAGTGATATTTTCCAGACCAAAAAATTTGGTCGCCAATTATCACATTCAACGACCAAAAAGTTTGGCCGCCAATCGTGACATTCCGCGACCAAAAAATTTGGTCGCCAATTGTGACATTCCACGACCAAAAAAGGTTTTGGTCGCCATTTGTTACTTTTTGCGACCAAAACTTTTGGTCGGCAAAAGTGAGATTCCACGACCAAGAGCTGTTTTGGTCGGCAATATATGTATTTTTTGCGACCAAAACTCTTGGTCGGCAATTGTCATTTTTTGCGAAAAAAAATTATTTTGGATGTCGCGACTAATAAATTAGTCGTCAAAGCAGGAAAACAATACACCTGTAATTCCTAATAATTCATTCAATCCATAATAAACCTATAATTTTAAAGCATCATTCAAATTAACTAAATCATTAACATTCGACACAATACATAATTCATTAACATTCGACACAATACAACTATTCTAAGTTTTCATTCACAAGTCACATCATTAACTTCTGATGTGTCCGTATCTCTGTCTTCTGAATCAGGCTGCATTTCAGGAAGACAATCTACTGGATCAGACACATCAGAATTTTCAAGCACGAGTTCTGCATCCTCGATCGTGAAATCTTTTCTTTCATCAGCAAGGCTTTCTTCTTGGAGGATGTCTTGGATTGCAACACCTGACTTGTCATCCCTTCCTTTATCCTTCACCTTGCGATTATTTCGTTTTTGCTTGCCCTGAATTGTAGAATAAATCAAAGATGTAGTGCAGCTGAATTCAAATGAAAGAAAGATTTACAAAATCTCTCCCTCCAACAAAATAGAAGTTTCATGCGTAAGTAGCATACCAAGGATTAGTTAGTGTTAATTAAAGAGACAAGCCCAACCATACAACCAACAAAAAAATAAAGGCATAAAAAACCACAAAGCAAGAAGACGATAATTTTAAATACCAATAACAAATTGGACTCCTAATGGCCTGCAACTTGACATTTATCAGGAATATCAGCAGCTCTTGAATGAGGTGATATGACTCCCAAAAAACTCCAAAAATATTTCCAAATGCATCATTTTCCTGGCCCCTTTTATCATAATTTTTTTTTCTAATTTTAATAAACTAAATAATCAATAATACAGGATCCTGCCCATTTTCTAGTCTAATCAAGACAGGAAAGAAACTTGAGCATCCGAGCCCCGAAACATCAAGGTTGGGAGAACACCTAGGTACCACTTGGCCTATAAGGCCAATGATGAGAATATTTTTTATTGTAAATGTGAGGCAAAACCAACCATATATAAATTTCCCATTTCTCCTAAATCTGTTCTTATTTTTGTGATGTAATATTTGACATACATGCTTATTCAATGTTACAGAAAAATTTTTATTAAAAAAAAAAGGACGACACTTACCACCTTATAAATATACCATATGATACCAAACATACATGCACCAAAGACTAGAAAATTGTCAACCATCAACTACGTAACATCACAAGCCACCATAAACTAGAAATTGTCAACCGTAGACCATATGTTTTTTCTATTCTCTTTTTATTTCATATATTTTTACCATTTTGCCATTGGTCCATTAGCTTTCCATCATGGTAATTGTAGGTTTCTCAAACCTTAGGGGTTTTTTGCCTAATTTCCAAACCATAGAGGAGGTAGGTGAAAGTATCATCTTTTTCTATCATAACACACTAATCACAATTGCTTCAAACCCAGACAAAAAACATGCAAAGCCAAAGGTCACAATAGGTGTAATCAATGAAGGTGTAATGAAAGTAAGATTGGACGGGGAGTACATACCTTCACAATAGGTGTAAGGAACTCAACTAAGAAAGAAGGAAATTTTAGCAATGACGGCCAAAATGAATGAATAAAATTAATCAACAGCCCTTTAATATGTGATCCATCATGGTCCTGTGAATGCATAAAAATTGAAACTTTTAACCAAGTCATCAGCAAACAAACTAAAATGCATCCACACTTAGTAATGAATCAACATATAGATAAAACCAAAATAAAAAACAAAACAAGAAGTTAAATGTTTTAAACCTGATCAGTCATGATCATCAAATGACCATATCTCAAAGTCTTCACACTGTCATACTGTTTTCCATACTGAAGTCCAAGAATCTGCTTGATGCTCTGAATTTCAGCGTTCTCCATGATCTGTTTATGGCTTGCTTCCCTCACATTAAGCAATTTACCTCTCAACGGTAACACACCATAATAATTAAAATTACTTGAACCTGTAGTACTTATAAGACCACATTTCAAATTTGCCCTTTACCTAGGTCAAAACCTGTAGTACTTACAAGGAAACTTGATAGAAGTAATGACATTATGATCACCTAACTTCAGAGTTATGAATGGAGCAAATATCAGTAACTACATATGCAGAAAATAAGCATCTCAAATGATTTTGTTTTAATTATTTTATTTTTTATGACTGGTAGATTGAACACGTATTTTCATACCCAATCTTTACAAAAGTGTATGAAAACCTGGTTTTTACTTGAACATCAAAATAAACATCAAGTTTTACAATTTTACTTAAACCAGATCAATTTTTACGAAAGTGTCAATTTACTTAAACCACCAGATCTGAAGACCACAAAGAAAGCATTCTAACCTGAAGTGCTAAATCCATAGATGCATCAAACTGGAAGGCAAAATTAACATCCTTCCCTCAGACTCTTTTGATTGAAGTGTGCCAGAAGTTCATTCCTAGTTTCTGGAATGGGTACAGTCCACCACCCATTACTATCGAAGAGCACAAAGGAAATCACTTCCAAATCTCCCTCTCCATGCACACCACCCAAGGCACATTCCCAATTCATCACACTTTTCTTTCATTTTTTGTGTACAATATCCTTCGGTTTGTAAACTATATTCTCAAATCTCTGTACTTAAGTTCCTGATTTCCTCTAGTCTCCTGATGTTATTTCCCACCTACTCAAAATCTACTAGCTCTAATTGTGGCGTTAAGAGAATTTCCATAGCTCCCTGAGGCACCATAAAAAACGGCTCAAAATGCATGGCAAAAAAAGGATTAAAAATCAGGAAAAAAACAATATATAAAATATCAGGTGCATCAACAAAAAAAAAATATCAGGTGCATGAACAATAAACTATAGTGTTTGTCACCCCCATACGATGTAAATTTGCAGTAAGCGATTGAGTCTTGACTCATTCATCTAATTTGCATAAATTATACCTAGTAACCATTGCATTAGATAACAGGGAGGAAAGAGACATGGGATTCATATAGATACTAGGGCAAGGAGAAAAAAAATCATCAAGGACTTTGCCCAAAGACAATTTGTTGTTGGCAACTTTTTGAGTGCAAAAAAATGGTTATACATACATCAGCAGAATAAACATTATACACCAACTTGTCTGACATCAGAATAAATGAAGATTTGTATTTAAACTAAATTTTAAGAAAGTAAATGACCGCCATTTCGGTTGAAAATTCCTCCAAGTTGCTCAATAGACAGTGTCACACTTTATTGTGTAGGTGGAAATAGGGTAAGCCCGTATCTCCCCGCATTAACAAGTAAATGGACACAAACTCATGCATATATTCACTTGAATATGCTCAACCCAACAAGTTGTGAGTAAGCCATAACAACAATATGAATTAATTGAAAGCATAAGTGCAATTGAAATAACAGAGTCAAGATGGAAATCACTACACACCACTGTTTTTCATAAGAGCAGCAACGTAGGTTGTTTTACCACCAGGAGCAGCCCTGCAATAAAGTATAAATTGCAATTAAGAGGGAGAATGCAGATAGAAAGAAGCAGTGAAGATAACACATGAGACATGGACATGGATACCACATATAATCCTATTCCTTCGATTGCATAAATGTCCATGACTAGTGTGTGAGACTGAATACATCAATCAACTCTACCATGTCTCATACAAAGAAGTGAACATGAAAAAGGCAAGATATTAGTGTCCCTAAAGTGAGCTTTCTTTACACTGTTTTGTCTCAGATTGTATCAAAGGTTAAACTATGCTACAAATTCATAATATAAGAATTGTGCAATGGAATCACAAGCTAACTACAGCAATTTTCAAGGCTGGACGTATGTAAGGATGCTTTGGTTACTTACCTTACCCGTCAACAAAAACAACATTAACATGAAGAAGAGAAAGAGGAAAACAAAAGACAACATTTAAAGTATAATAAAACAAAAGAAAAGAAAGAAAGAGAAACTTAGCCATTAAACTTGCTCAAATAAAAATAAGAAACTAAAAACATAGGATAATGCAAAAAAATTCAAATAGATAGCAAGCAGATATTTCTGTGTGAAAGAGTTCAGTTACTTACGCCATATCAACAGTCCTTTCTTTCTCTTGAGGAGCAAGGGCCATCACAGGCAAAAAAGAGCTTGCATTTTGCAACTGTAAGCAAACTTACTATGAGCACTAAGAAACCACATAAAACCCAAAACAATATATATATATATTGTCTTTTCTTTTCTCGCAGGGGTTGGGGGTGGGGTGGGGGTGGAAGTGGAATAAGGGGAAAGGAAGAACAAGAAAACATGCTAGCTAGTGATAATACCATGTAATAACCAGCCATATATTCAGGAGTGGCACCAATCGGAACTTGTGAATCATACACAACAAGTCCAACCTGCAAATTTGAAAGAAGGTTAATTAAAGCTAAACCAATACAAACAACACACAGATGGAAATAGAGAAAAGAGAGATTGAAATTGATCGAACCTTTAGACGAAATCGAACTGCTTGAAGCTCTGAGACGGCATAGAGATCAAGCACAGAGAGAGAGAGAGAGAGAGAGATAAGAGGCAGGAGAACCGTCGTAGGATTAGGGTTTGATAAGAAGAGAGATCAATCATGGAATAAAAGGAAGGGGTAGTGTATGTACCTGAAGGATGAGGTCGTCGTAGATATCGATGATCTTGTTGTAGGATTTGGAAGCCATTGTGTCGTTGTGGATCGCTCACGACGGTCAGATCTCAGCCTAGGACTCAAATCAGATTCAGATCTCGACTTTCTTCTCGGATTCGGCGGAGGCACAGGCAGAGGAGAAGGAGGAGGATCATCGACGATGTAGATGTGGCGATCTGTGGCGATGGGGTGAGGTTTGGCGGTGGAGGAGAATTTGAACAAAATGTTGTGTGTAATTGTAAACAGAGAACAGGGGTGGGCGCGAGATTTCCCTCTAAAAAAATTTCGCCTTTAACGACTAAATTCGTTTTTTGTCGCAAAATCTCAAATATATAACGACTAATTTTTTTAGTCGCCAAATCTCAATCAATGGTGACTAAAATATTAGTTGCTAAAAATATTAATTTGGCGACTAATTTTTTTTTGTTGCTGAAAATAAGTTTTTGGCGACCAAATTTTTGGTCGCCAAAAAATATGTGACCTTTCGCGACTAAATTTGTAGTTGGTTGGCAAATGCATACCACTTTCTACGACCAACTCATTTTTTGGTCGCCAAAATATAACTTTCTGCGACCAATAATATTTGGTCGCCAAAAATAATGATCATTCGCGACTAATTAAAATTTGGTCGCCAAATGAGATTTTTTTGCGACCAAAATTTTTTTGGTCGGCAAAAGTGGTCGCAAAATGTGTAAATTCTTGTAGTGAAGGATGCCGAAGCCTATATAAAAAAGCGTGAAAATGCTATTGAAATCCATGATTATGCGATAAGACTAAAAAGTCTTATGACGATGTTCCTCTGGCGAACATGACGAATAACTTAGTTTGCCGAGATGGTAGAGTTGAACTAAGATTGCGATGTTTCAGTATGAAACATGACGAATAACGTAGACTTGCCATGCTAGTAAAGTTAAACTAAGTTTGCGATGTTTTGGCATGAAACATGGCGAATAACTTAGACTTGCCATATGGGAGAGTTGAACTAAGTTAGCGATGTTTCTGAAAGAAACATGACGAATAACTTAGACTTACCATATAGTAGAGTTGAATTCAACTTGCCTATGGTAGAGTTGAACTAAGATGGCGATGTTCCCTTAGCGAACATGACGAATAACTTAGACTTTCCGAGATGGTAGAGTTGAACTAAGTTTGTAATGTTTCAGTATGAAACATGACGAATTACTTAGGCTTACTATGCTGGTAAAGTTGAACTAAGTTTGCAATGTTTCGACATGAAACATGACGAATAACTTAGACTTGCCATATGGTAGAGTTGAACTAAGTTAGCGATGTTTCCGAATGAAACATGACAAATAACTTAGACTTACCATATGGTAGAGTTGAACTAAGTTGGCGATGTTTCCTAATAAAACATGACGAATAACTTAGACTTACCATATGGTAGAGTTGAACTCAACTTGCCTATGGTAGAGTTGAACTAAGTTGGCGATGTTTCCGAATGAAACATGACGAATAACTTAAACTTTCCATAACGGAAGAGTTGAACTAAGTTTGATCTAGTTAGATTAACAGAGACATCGAGGTGGAAAACCTCGGCTAAGATTTGTTTGAATCAAACTTCAGAAAATTTGAAGATGCATGCTTAATGTGAACATAAGTGATACTTAGGTTCACATCAGGGGGCAGGAGGCAGGAATAAGGAATGGGCTTGACACTTGTTGAAATTTACAAGTTGGAGTCAGCCGAGGTATCCAGATGAAGGAAGCATGAATAAGCTTGACATTTGTTGAAATTTTTGAAAAAATTTACAAGTTGGAGTCAGCCGAGGTATCCAAATGAGGGGACACTCGAGTTGTTGGTTACCCAAAATCACTAACCAGGTCCTCAAACCTGGAAATGTTGGAAGAGTGAAGTCTTGATAAAAGACAGAAAGTACAAGTAAGGAAGCAATACTTGTTGAATGTTATTCAAAGAATTTTTATAAAGTGCCCGTTGGTCGAGATCACAATAAAAGGTGAACTCCAAGGTAAGTTGGTCTGAGGTGACCAACTAAGGGTGCACCCAAGATGAAGTGGATCCGAGGTGGTACATGTTAGATGTGTTCTAACTCGAAGTGATTACGTAGTTAAAGTGTATTTGGGAGAAGTACAAAAATATTCTAAGTATGGAATCATACAAGACAGTAAAGATAGAGACAAACATTTAGTAAAAAAGAGGACTTACATTAAAAAAGACAACTTGTTTAGTTACAAAAAAAGGCACCTCGGCTAGAAGCAAAACAAGATGTCAAGATGGAATCTGACTCCACCCTCGATGATAGATACTATAGGGAAGGGCATATATCTCTCTTCAGGCATCATGGAATCCTCTTCCCTAGCCAACCTTAGATGAACGTCGGCTGGAATGGAGAATTCCTGACGGAAGTATTCTAGTTTATTGGAGGACTCTACCCTCCATTTGAACATCCCTATGACCTCGGCTAGGGCTATTTTGGCAAGGAAGGTTGGACTGTATGTGTTAAAGACCTCAACAAAACCCTAAGGAATGTTGGTTATCAGTTTTAGGGTTCTGAGGAAGGTTTGGGGGCAAAATTTGTTCCAGTTTTCCTAAGTGTGATTCTAGCAAATCCCAAACCTAAGTCTCTGCAAATGTACAAGATTTAGAGGCTGTAATCTGCTAACAAGCAAGACCAGACAGAAGAAACAGGTCTCAAAACATGAAATAGTGATCAAAGATTCAAGAATATGAGAAAAATAGAGCATTGACAGATTCAATGTATGAACAAAATTGATAGAATTCGGTGATAGTGTGCCATAAGATATGTGTCAAATACAAAAAATGTGGAGATGGACTCAAGAACATGAATGACAAAATATGAGTCAAAGCAAGCGAAGTCATGTAGAACAATAGGATTCGAATATGAATACAAGATGGCAATGTAAATGTAGATGTAGATGTAGATACAGATACCGTGTGTAATGTGTAATAATCCACAAGAGGAATGTATTTGAAAATAGGACTTAAAGGCGGAGCCGATGAAGTAAATGCTGGAATGAGATTCGCCGAAGTCAGACAACGCTCTAATCGGAACGGAACTACTGAGTGCATGTTAGAAGTGGTGACCAGAGTTGTAATAGGAAAAGCTTTGAAGGAATGGCAATGGAGACTTCTAGAGAGAGAGAGTGAAGGAAGGTTTGTCCAAAAACGAAAGGTGGCAAAACATTATGTAACTGCCTTGGATGACTTGCCAGTAAGGCGACGTGGGCAGCTTTAATGTGATAGAGTGACGCGTGACTGATACAAACCAATGAGGTGATGACATGATTATCTCTGTCGACATGTTGATCTTGGTTAAGATGATGATCTTGGTTGAGATGTTGATCTCAGTTAAGATGTTGAATTTAGATGGGACAAAACTTGTTTGTTCTTTGTTCTTGATGAGTGGATACTAGGGTGTAGACACCCCATTTTTGACCGCCCATAAGACTTGGGTGCCACTAATTGATCACTCGATGATGAAAGTTGTGCTATGCAAATGTTCGATTTCTTCAGTGAGGAGAGCTCTAAATCCCAACCTTACACCCCATTTTGGACCAAAACTATTTTGACCAAAACTATTTTAGACCTTAAAACCCTTCTTTCAAAATATTTTTGAAAATGTTTCTATGATGTTCCGAGGCTCGTATTTCGTTAAAAATTACACTTTTCGGTAAACTGAGTAAGGACAAAGTGGAAATAAATGGAAGAGAGGTGAACTCTTTCAAAAATCTTTTAAAACATCCTATTTAGAGGTTTGGAGTTGAAGAAAATAGGAGGAGAGGAAAGAAAACTAGTTAGGGGCATAGTTGGGCATGAAACCGTTGAGAGAGAACTTAATAGCCTTCACTAAATCAGGCCTATCCTTTTGTAAACTTGGACTTTAGTTATGAGGCCACCACCATTGGAAAGTGAACTTCTGGGGCTTCATTTTACACTCAATAATCTCCTAAAGCCGAGTCCGGATGAGGGAGATATGACTGTTTGAAGTTAGGCATCAATCCGATTAAAACAAAACTGAGCAACCTTCACTAAAATAGGCATATCTCTTTTATAGGTGAGGCTGCCACCATTGGAAAGTAGACTTCCGTAGATTTAATTTAGACTTAAGAATGACCTAAAACCAAGTCCGGATGAAAGAGATATGCCCATTTGAAGTTGGGCCTAGAAGCAGATTTTTGATAGTCGGCAGATGGCTTGTCGGCCACCATTGATGGCCAGTAATGCACACTTCTGGTTAGCCGGCCACCTGCCAGCCACTAGTGTAAAATCCAGATATTTTTACCAGCTGTTTCCATAAAGTTCCAGCCGTCCTTTTTTAGATATTTTCAACCTAAGGCTCATATTTTCTATATATAAAGAGCCTCTCTTCTTGCTTTCAAGGTTAGAAACATTTAGGAGTGAGGAAATAATTTTGAAAAATATCCTCTCTCTCTCTCTACAATTCTCTCTCTCTCTCTCTTGCAACTTGCATAGCCTTTGCCCAAACACTCTAAACCAAACCTAGAGAGCTTCTTGCTAAGGTGATTTGAACTTAAATTTGAGCTCTTGAAGCACTTGGGAGTGTGAAATTGTTGGTTTATGGCTTAAGGGTTCATTCCTCTTCAAGAGGTATACTTTTTCTTGCCTTTGTACCATCTTTACACCACTTATTTTCCATCTTTTCTTGTTGTTTTTAAGCCCTTTAAAACCTGTTTTTATGGGCTGAAACCTTGTTGTTTAAGGCTATTAAAGGTAGAGGGGTTAATCACCTTTCTTTGAACCTTGTTATCCCATCTCTTCATTAACTTTTTTTTGAGCTTTTTATCACTGATTTTCAGAGGCTAAAAAAGTAGTTTTGAAGTCCCAAAAATGGAGGGGTTTGCCACTTCTCCTTTGGCTTGTTTACTAGCTTAAATTGTTCCATGTTTTAGCTTATTATTTTAGCTACTTTTGTCTTCATTCTTCATTACAGCACATTTTTGTACAATTTTTGGACTATAAAAACTCTGTATTTTTGGGGTGAAGCTTGGGTTTTAAGGCCAATAAAGGTTGAGGGGTGGTTCACCCTTCTTTACACCTTGGTGTTCAAGGCCTTTACCCTCGTGTTTCCCACCTTTGCACCATCTTTTTTTGAGCTTTTAAACACTATTTTTCAGAGTTATTTTAGTGGCCACAATCATGTTTTAAAGTCCAAATTTGGAGGGGTTAGCCTCCCCTCCTTGTGTCTTGCTTACTAACCTAGTTTGTGCCATGTTTTAGCATGTTAATCTAGCTTTTGTTAGCTCAATTCCAGCATGTTTTAGGATTGTATTAGACCTATTTTAGCACTATTTTTGGTTGATAGTTGCATTTGAGCTTTGTTTTGCATGTTTATAGTGTAATAGTCATCATGAGTTTGGTGTTCTAGGCCTTAGACATCATCTCCTTTAAGTTGAAAGCATTTATTTATGCTTTTCTCACTTATTTTCAGCATTAATAATCTCTGCAACCTCCCTTCTTTCTTGGCTTTTGTTTTGCTTTGAGGGTTGTTTCAAGCCTTTTGTTCTTTTAAGCATGAGATTGAGGTTGTTATGCTTAATGGTTTAATCCCTTTTAGGGGTTCATTATTAACGACATGACATCTCTTTCATGTCTTAAGTTAACTCTTGGTTTGGTACTTCACTCCATTAGAGGACTTA